TGGATATTGTGTTGTTTGTTCTTCTTGAAATGTTTGTTCAAATGCTAGACATATATGATTTTCATAACATAAATTTTCTCCATGACCAAATTTTTGTAAATCATAAGTTTCTTTTGTACCACCAACAATAGAACATGTTATTGTCTGTCGAAGTGTTGGTTCATCCCATGCATAATCAATCGATTGATGTGGTTGAATAAATGCACGTAAATAAGTTAATTCTTCTCGTGTTTCACTTTGATAAAATTGTATAGGAACATCAGATAGATTACTAACACGAAGAGGTGCTGGCATTTGATTGGAATCCATGAAAACAACAAAAAATGTACCACCACGTTCAATAACTTGTACTCTAAAATGTAGATTTTCAATAATTCATACAATAGAATGTAAATCTTTAAAACAAAACAACAAAGTAGAATCATACATATCTCTCTATCCTATTCATTACATAAGATCTGTAGCTGAGTTATACATATATGATAATTATTCTGCTTATACCACATCTATCTAATCTTACCTTAATATTAAACATTGATTATTATCATATCTTAAATTAATATGAAATGCATTAACACGATCAATTAAAAAACCACCGGACCAATAAACATGTCGATATTGACTATTATTAATAACACGAACACATAAAAGTTGATCGAGATCACTTCTTGGCCAATGATAAGCAACTAATGAATTTTTTAACACATTTAAACAATTTTGTTCTAAATTACTATGATCACCCGTTTGTAACATAGCTCGAACAATATGTCGTTGTGCAATGGATAAATCATATGAACATTGATTACTTATCATATAACGTGTACTCAAAAAAATAAAATTTGTTCGACGTAAACGTCCTTTACCTTGTCGAACATCAATTCCAATATAATAAATCCAATCAGGTGAACCATGAGGAGAACGAACATGTAATTGACGATAACTTGAACCACGTTCTAGAAAATAAATATTTTATATAGAATGAAGATGATTTTTTTAAAACAAATTTTTTACCTAAACTAAAACGTTGTGACCATAATGGACGGCCATCATCACTTTTATGTAAACCTGAACCAACTTTCATAACACAAGCATGAGAAGCTTCTGAATCACTATATGAAAATAATAATGGTTCACGATTTCGAGCTAATTCATGTTCATGTGTTTGACTAGCTGCTTCATTTAAAGAACCATCCTGTTTAAAAATCAATGGAATACCTGAATAAATCAAAATTATTTTAAAGATTCAAGTTAATATTAGAAAATGACATACCACTCTTGTTAAGTAAAACATAAGGAACAGAAACAGATATTTTTAATCGATGTCGAATAGAACAAACAATAGTAACATCAACTAATAACATTCGTTGAATACTATCATATAAAATAACTTTTTGATGATGATATTTCATAAGATTTAAATCATTTATTGATGGTACATGTAATGGTTTAGTCATATTATAAATATCTGTCGCAAAAAAAATATCAATAGCTTGACCTATATTTAACGTATGTTCACGATGAGATTTATATGGATTAAGTCGAACTTTTTGTGGATGTGAATGTATTTGAAAAAATAGATCACATGGAAGTAAATTATTTATAATTAATGGTGGTAATATTGATAATTGATATGCTGATAGAATATGTTCTCTAAATGCAAGTAAACGTGTTCGTTTTGATTGTACACATAAATAATAAACTGAATCATTTCCATTTATAAAACATGTACGGAAAAATGATAAGCGATCAGTTGAATTTATATCGCGTTGCCGTTGCAAAGAATTTGTTTCTGCAGTTGAAGTATTTTCATCACTAAAAATAGAAATAATTTAATAATTTCTAATCTTTTCAAATCTATTTACTTTTCATCATTTGGTTGTCCTCTTCGTCTTTGTTCATTAGAAATTTCCATCCAATTAATAGGTTCACCACAATAATTAAATGCAAAATCTGCTGGTCGTACTTGAAATTGTCTTATAGTTGGACAAAATTGTAATGGTAATGAACGAATTTCATTTGGTTCTAAACGAATATCATGTAATGAACCTGATCCACATTTTAATCGAACATCAACAGATGTTAATAATTGATTACGTATTTCAATCGCTGATCGAATTGTTATTGAACGCATTGAACTATCTGTCATAGTTACATCAATGAAAACTAGTACCGGTTTTTGTAATCGATCACCTGATGGTAAAGCAAGTCGAAAAAAAGTTCCAACACGATCAATCGATATTGGTTGTAACCATTCCCAACCTTCAATTTGTATTAATAAACGTCGATCAGAATAGGATGATGATGTTGATGACTGTATATCTTTAATTGTATTAACTTTTGTTCCTGGTGTTATTGTTGATTCACTGGGAAATATAAATGATTTTGTATCATTATATTCAACAATATGATCATTTAAATCAAAACGTTGTTGTGTTGATAACCATGTACGAAATATAACACGTTGTCCAACAAGATTTTTAAAACAATACGGTTCAAATGGTTTTGGTCGACGAAAATACATATGTTCTTTACTAATATCATTTGTATTATAATAATCTTCAAGCCAATTATTTTTAACTAAATCATATAATTGATGCATTGTTTTCGTATAATTTATATTTAATAAATGATTTGAACAAATAGCTAATGATGTTAAATTATCTGATGTTTTCAATGTTACTTGTAATGACCATAATTCAATAAATGGTTCATATCCAGATAATAAACGATTATAATAATCAATATTAAATTGTAAATCAGCTTGTTGTAAACGATATGTTTCATATTCAATAATATTTAATTTTATTGTTTTAAATGTTAAATTTAATAATGGAATATTTGCATTAAGACAATCATCGATTAAACAAAGACTTATTTGTTCACATGAAAATTTCATTGAATGAATATTTAAAAATAATTTCGAAGTTTTTTCATTCGTATTTTCTATCAATGATATTTGTCGTTGTTGTTCACTAATAGTTGGTGCTATTGTTGAACGTATACGAAAATCAACTTGACTATCTTCCGGACAATATTCAATTAAAAGTTCATTATCAACTGATACACGTCGTGTTGGTTGATAAATTTTATATTCTGGTATTATATCACGTGATTGTGCTTGATGAACTTGTTTTGTTATTGATTGAAACATATATAACATTAATTTAACATCGGAATATGATAAACGTATGAATAATTGTGGTAAATTAACTTCAAATACACGTTGTTCATTTGTTTGTGATAAATGTATATTAAAATTAATATTAATTGGTTCGATGATTGATACAGCTGTTGATTGTA